CTTTTATATAGTTAAATTTTAATTTTTTTATTACTGATTTGTCACCACTTCACTTTTGTGAGAAAGCACATGCACAGTATATATGTTCTGCTCCTACTGAGTAATTCTCTATCTAAGGAATGATTCCATATTGTGATGTTATTTTTGACCACATTAAGCAATCAGTACTGAGTTTTATTGTTCCATTTTACATTTTTCTCTGGATAGAACCAGAAGCTGCTCTGAAACACTGACTCCTGATCTTTGTTACAGCACCAGGACACAGAGAAGAGAAGCCACCCAGTTACTAAAACCAAGGGCAGAGTGGTGCCCACAGACAGGTAGGTCAGAGACGGTGGGCCGTGCCGCTTCACTGCTGAGAAAGAAAGAAATAGAACACAATGAAAAGATAGAAATCGTTTTTACACTGTATGTCATACAAAAGTTTTAACACCTGTCATTTTGTAATTTAAAATTTTGTGTCCAGGGATAAGGGGAAAGGAAAAGGCAAAGGAGCTGCCTTTGTGAGCAATGGTGGTTTGGTACCAACCCTGACATCTCAAAGGAAAGGTGAGTGTCTGGAGGCTGCATAGATAACGTAACAGACCAACGTATAGCTCCATGATGATAAGAATAAATAAAACTAATGTAAAAGCTGTGCCTTGTTAAAGGAAGTGTATGGGAGGGTTCCCCCTTCAGATTAGATTGTTGTGCTGTTCTGTCAACATGAATCAGGTGAATCATGTTACATTTGTCTGAAGCAACATTCTGGTAATTTGCTTTGTTTCAAAAAGGATATGCTTCCTGACTGTGAGGTGACCACAAAGCATCAGTTGCTAGGAAGAGCCCAAGTTGCATTTCTCTGATTATTAACTTTACAAAAATGTAATAAAACTACTTACATTTTTTATTTTTGACCATCCTTGTCTCAAAAGTCCCTGAATTGTTGTCATGTTACTGTTGCTCTGAGGGATGCAACTTTTTTTGGTGAATGTTTAAATTTGATGTAGGCTCACATGATTTTGAATACATTTCCAGAGTTTCAGCTAATGTTTCAGGGTTTTTTTGTTTGTTTTTTTTTTTAACGAAACTTAATGTCATACATGATGTGTTCAAGGACTGCCAGAAAGTTGAAAGTCTGATGATTCATCTTGTTTTAACAGTTTCTTGCTCTCGATTTAAAAAAACAAAAAACAAAACCTAACAGGTTTCGAGAGTTAAGGTCTGTTTGTCACAGAGATTTTTAAATTTTCATGTCAAAAATCTAAAAAATGCCACCACTGCTTTTAGTGCTAAGAGGTACGGGAGCATTGCAGGATTGTGTACATCAAAACAGTAGGTCCAAGGTTTGTGTTTTAATACACATGTTGTTTCAGATGGGGGTTCTGGTCTTGATACCTTCGAAACATCATCAGAAAGCTACAGCTCTCCATCCAGCCCTCAACACAGAGGACCAGAGAGCCTGGACAGTGAAGACGACAACAACAAAGGTAAGAGAAGCACAAAAACAAACGCTCCACGTACGTAGAACACTCTGGAAATCGTGATTGTTAAGTTGCTGTTTCTCTTTTTGTTCTCTCACAATCTCAGATACAGATAGCCACTCTGATGACTGCTCTAAAGGTCCGGGCCCGGACAGGTTCTTCACCCATCAGACTGATCCAGCTGGGGTGGGGAAGGTGTCCTCTGTCCGTCCTCTGTCTTCTGGCAACCACCAGGCTCCGATGGAGGCCCTCTGCACGGACACTAGCACAGAGTTCCCTCCTCTCTCCATCATGCATTCTCTGCCCTATGCGCTCCCCAACGGAGCCAGTGACTCTGGGCTTCCACTGGTTTCTCCTCCCAGCCAAAATGTTGTCTCTGATGTGAAGCCCTCATCAGGGACACTGATGATGCAGATGCCCCTAGTGCCTCCAGCCGTCCCCGTGGGAGACCCAGAGAAGAGGGATGTGCTTCCAACCTTTGGGATTCCAAGTATTGGCCTCCACACTGCAGGAAATTCTGCTGTGCAACCTCTAGTTCAGAGGTTCAAAACTAATTTGTCTCACAGCCAGGGTGGCACTGATGGAGGTCCAGGGAGTGGTTCTGCTCCTGCTGCACCGCAGGCCTCACTTCAGGCCCCTATACGAGCCATGAGTGTCATGTCTCCTGGCTCCACATCTTACTCTTCCCCTCATCTGCCCTGCCAAGACCAAACCAGTGTCAGCTCAGGCCTGGCCTCCTCTCTGCCACATGTGGAGACGTCACATGCCAAGCACCCTGGCTTAAACTTACCGTCTGGCATGCCTTCTCCCTACACCCTGCCCCCTGTCCCCACCTCTGTCATGCCTACTGTAGGAGCACCTGTGGCCACTGGAATAGCTCCATCTCCTGGACATCTTCAAGCAGCTGTTCCCCCAGCTGTTCCCACACACACCCCTGGACCTGCCCCGAGTCCCAGCCCAGCACTTACTCACAGTACAGCACACAGCGACTGTACATCGTACAGCAACAGCAGTGCTTCCTGTGGAAATGCCTCTGGCAACCCTATGACTCTGCAGCAAACCCAGCAGCAACAAGTGCCCCCCCAGCAGCCAACACCACCACAACAACAGCAGCAGCAGCCAATGGGTTGTGGGACTTGTGGCTGCCACAACAACTGCGGCAACCGTGGTGGCAACAACAACAGTGTGAGTGGTGCGTCGGGCTGCCAGGCACCCGTGTTCTACGCCACCCACCAGATGGCAGCAGCAGCACGCCAGGTGTTCAGTGTTCCTCCACCGCTCTTCCAGCTCACAAGCCTGTGCAGTAACAGCTACCTCACCCAGGCTCACCCTCCTCACCAGGCCAACGGCGCTGCCACCCTGCCCCCCTTTTTCCCTACCGCTCCACCTCCAGCACACCCGCCCCCCTACCTTCACACTCATTCTCACAGTCATGCAGACGTGCCATCACATATGCTGAGCACGCAGGCTGTGGCAGTAGCAGCCGCCGCTGCAAACTACAGCCTCCAGCAGCAGATGGCGCCGGCAGCATCATTCTGCCAGCGTGTCTACCAGCACGTGTACCCGAATCATCTGGGGATGCTGCCTGCTGCCACCCTGGGGGGAGGTGGAGTCAATAAGAAGAACGGCAATGTGTCCTGTTATAACTGTGGTGTGAGTGGCCACTACGCTCAGGACTGCAACCAGCCCTCCATCGACTCCACACAGCAAGGTAATACAGCTACACAGCGCAGGGAGAAACTGAGGAGCTCTAAGTTTTCCTCCCCCAGAAGCCCAAGAAGGCATCCAGTCCAATAGTAAACCCAGACTAGAGGAGGTTCAGACTCGTCCTCACCACCAAGTATATTTTAGGCTTGTTTGTGTAGCAGGAGTTAGTTAGGTTTCTTTTTTAGGACGGTTTTTCTTGAAAACACGTAGCTGGAATAAATATCCAGAGGAAAAAATATAAAAAGCGGACACCTTATATACATACATAGATCAGCTGTCAAGAACAACTAGTTTGCTCTGACTACACCTCTGCCACCAAATTTCATTTTAAATGGTTCACCCATCCATCGGTTGTGTGTTGATTCCCAGACAGCAGAGGAAACCCCAATTATCTAAAAAATATCAAGGAGTAGGTGAGGCCACATTTTTTCTGCAATTTTGACTCATGTATTTGCATGTAGCAATACATTTCCAGCAATTCTTTGAGCAGCCTTTCAAAGGAAATGAAAGTGGTAGTAGCAGCAGTTTGTCCGTGTACAAAAGTCAGCATCACCCCCTACAGGCAGTGAAAGTAACAACTGAATGGCTAAAAGCCTGTACAGTTTGAGGTTTTATCAGGGCTTTAAAGATATAGATGTTAAAACTCTTTGCCTGCCAGTATTAAAGATGTCTGCATTGTGTGAAACACAGTGGAAAAGACAGGAAACCTTAACAAGTGGCTGGGCTGACCCTAAGGCCACTGTCATAGGACTACATCCACACCAGTATGTTTTCATCTTAGCATGAAAACTGTCCAAATGAGCATTTTAGCATCATGTAATACTCACAAGTATCTCCATTCTAGAGAGACAAATATCACATGACCATTCAGTTACTGTATTAGTACAGATCAAACTAGAAGCAGAGGGCTGGTCGATCAGCTGTACACGACAGAGCGGTGAAAAGTTAGACAGCAGGTTTCTTCACATGGACTGATGACGATGTGGAACTGGTGCTGAAAGTAGGACAAGCAGATGTTTTTGTTTTCTTTGTGGAAAAGGGTCATGTGGAAGGGTCGAGTGATTTTTTTTTTTCTTCTTCCCCCCCTAAAGGCAGATACTGATTATTATTAGTCAAGGAGACTGATAACAGACATTTGTCACTGATGGACACGTGTCAACATTTAGAATAACACTAACTTCAACACAAAACTTTGTTAAAATGTTTATTTCTGTTTTCCATCTGTGTAATTAAAAGAGAACTTTTGAACATTTGTCTTTCACTGTTAATTGACTATAACTCGTGATGTGTAACCAGCTGATAGTACTGTGGGCGGGACATTGCAGTAAAAATGTGCACTCCCCTAATCCAGGCTAGTTCCAAGTCCTGTTTCTGAGCTGCATTTGTGGTTCCATCTGTAACGCTGTTCTGGTGTGTTCCTCCACTCAGCCATCACAGACCGCACATATAGGTAGTGTCACACCCAACCAGAGCCACAGCGACATTTACAGTAAATAATACAGCAAAATATACAGAGATTAAACAATTTAAAATCGTTTAAATCAGCCTTCTCGTCAGACACGTGTTTCTACAGCTGTTCTCTGATCTTCCGTGTGTTTGAATGCATCTCTGTCTGTATGTGTTGCAGGTGGTTTTCGCTTAAAGTACGCAGCATCCCACATTTCGGAAACACTTGACAATGCTGACTGAACGGTGAAGAAAAGAGGATGAAGAGGAGTTTGGTTTCCACAGCAACAAGTCCTCTGTTCTTCTTCAGGCGCTGTGTGTGAGCAGTGTACTGAAGCCTCTGTGTACTTCAGGAAAAAAAAAAAAACACACATTCTCAAAAAGAAGGAATGACCTGCCAAGGGCTCAGTGGACACAGCCTAAGTATGTGTGCCTGAAAACAAATGTCGTTCCCATGGGGATGATTCAGCGTGTCGCACACAGTCACAGTCCCGTGTGACTCCTGGCCCCTTCCCTTTCAGTTTGTTTTTGATATTTTTGCACTGAGGGTTGGAAACAATTAACTTATTACTTAATTATTAGGAAGTTAAGAGATTTTGGGGATTCTTTTTTTTGTTTGTTTGTTTTTACAACTGAAAAAAGGTTCTTATATACTTATTTCTAAAGAAGCGGATTTCTGCTTTTTTTTCCTCATCATTACTGTTCACCTAGGATTTTATTGTTTGACACAATTGTACAGCAGTTTTCAAAGATTAAGAATCAAAACAAAAAAAAAAGAAGTAATGTAAGCAAAATGGATTTTGTGTTTGTTTTAATGTTCGATTTTGCTGTAAGGTTTTTGAATGTACATCCTCTCATTTAAAACTAAGGACTCTGACTGTATCAAAGTGTATGGATTTCATGCATTTTGGCCACTTGATATATTTTTGGGTTGGAAGGTAATTGCTGCTTTGTAAATTTCTTTTTATTTTCCATTTTAAAAAAAAAAACTAGTTTTACTTGGTCAAATGCACTATAGCGAAGCAGAAACACAAGTGCACTACAGCAGTCTGCACCGCAACCAAGCTGATGAAAGGAACTGTTCATTTTGACTGGCACCCATCAGCGGTATGTTTTAGTGTACTTAAGTATTTCAGGTGTGAAGCAGCTTTCTACGGCTAATATTTTAGAGTGAATGAGTTCCTTCAGTGTTTTAAAGTAGATACTGTAGAAGAGATTCCAGTTGAGTAGTCACATCACTTCTATCCCTCACATTGTGTCCACAGCACGACATCTTGACAGCTATAGTACCTGCCATACAGTAATTCAATATTTTTTTAGACCCCCCTAAACCTTAAGTCTAAACCCAGGGCATAATGACCACTTGTTCCAGGGAAATAACTGTACCCACTCTCCTGGAGGTGAAGCTATTTGATTTTAAGCTGTTCTAAGCGTTACTCAGTACTGGGCGGGTTTTCAAAGCCTCAGTTTGCTTCAGACAGTTGTAGACCTACGATGTGTTGTCCAATCACATCTAAAGATTTTGAAGTCCGGTTAAAGAGCAGACACCACCATGCATCCTCTCAATCCTCTTCCAAGAATGATGCCTTTCGCATGTCTTTCTTTATCTGGACACCAGACTGAACTCATGTTCTCTTCCACTTCATTCAGCCTGTTCCTGTAAAGCAGTTTCTCTTTTTGCCCCAATCACCAGTAACGCATGTCCCAGCCTCGTTAACATTAGTTTTATTTTCAATTGAAGCAGTGGGAGCTTTTGCTAGAAGACTGTTTATGTTGATTCCAGTTATTTCTGTAAGAAGAAGTTACAACCAGATGTTGTAACTGTAAAACATCCGTGGAAACTTTGCTAACATCAGCCCTCCTTATGCTACAAGTGGTACCAGCTGGGCGTTTAGCAAAGGTCTAAATGTACCGACTGTGTGCATGAATGAGATGAAGAAGATTACAAATTCCTTTTTTAATCCCACATACTCAACAGGCTCGTTGTGCACTTTCAGTTCCCAGTTGAAGCCTTCTTGCACATAATGACATTGGATAAAAGCAGTTGTACAGAAATTGGAAATCGTTTGATTTTACAAAAGTGATGGACATAGCTGTCTGTGAAGCACAGTTTGAAGCATACTGATGCTGTAAGAATACAGCAGTTTGGTTTTGTAGCCTCTAACAGGATTTGAGCTTTGCCTGTTTCTGCATTTTTTTATTTTTTTTTTCATGAGAAGAGAAAAACGCTACAGTCTTCTGAATCAGATACACTGATAAAGACAATACGTGACTTTTTTTTGGACTTGTTCAGTGAATGATTGAATCTGAAAGATGTCGAGTTTTGATTGGATTGTTGAACATAATTTAAGGGTGTATGACAAACCTGATAATTGACACTTGATTTTACATCCATGTGGAACTTGAACATGTGGCAAAGCCGTTTAATGCTGTACGCCCAGATCTGATTTCAAACTATGATTATGACAATGACAATGTTTTCTGAGGGGATTTTGAGATGCAGTAAAATGTAATTAAAGGCAGTGTGAGAATATGGAGCCCTAAGGTGTTTAATAGTACATAGATAAGTGATAACAATAAATGAAACAATAGTTTAAGAACCTTATGACACTAAGTTTGTTGTAAAATGTCTGTTTCATCGTTGAGAGTTTCACTTCAAGATGTCCTTTTGCAAAAGGTCTGTTTTTATTTCAGAATGGAACTTGACCCAGTAGGTGGCTTTCCACTGCAGGAACTTGGGGCAGGTGTGAGGACCTTTAAGGCTTTCTGTTTGCATTGTGGTGTCGGATCCAACAGCTTTAACTGGGATGTTGGCTCCTAGTGCACCAAAACCACAACAGAGTGGTCACTAGATGTAACTCCAGTTCTATGAGCACGTAGGAAATGGAACAATGGTGGTTTGTCATGTTGGCCTGTTTGGTAAATTTGACATTTTTGACTGGACGAGAACGTGGAGAAGGCAGAAGGTGCTCGTCCTCACTGAATTTAACCACTCAGCATCAAGCCCCATACAGCCGTGTTTTTAACCCTATTTTATCTTCCCTGACAATGGACCTAGACGAGGTTCTACAGGGACACTTCTTGCAGTCAAAACTGTAAAAAGGTTTGGACTAAAATATGACCCGCATGTTTCTGCAGTGGACAGTGGTTTAATGACACACTTAACGCCACTTTTCATGACACTTATTCTGCTCATGCTCCATCACCATTCAGCGAACCACCTGTCCTGTAAGCAAGCAAACTGCAGGAAGATAAACAAGGCAGCGCTTCTTAGCTACAGCAACACCAGAGTGACTAATTCTGAATCTAGCTACTGCTCCAAATAAGGGCAAAGTAATAATACAGGCTCAACAGCTGGTCTAGCTAGAGAACTTCCTTTTCTTTGTCTAAACCTTGTTGCCCTTCCAAACGGCAGCTAA